TTGAACATAGCGACACATGACAGTAACAATCGCCAAAATGGGTAAATGCGTAGTGAAAGAATGCGATTCAAGGTCACAAAACCATAATAAATCATTCGGAATTACTTATCACGTGTAAGTTTATGGTTTTTGTATTGATAATATCGTAAATAAGGCTATAATTGAAATAAAACATTGATAATTGTAATTTAGAATCAGTGTTACCATTAAAAAATCATTTTTGTTTTCCCACAATAGTGGGAGAATTTATAATTTATGAAATAATATGCTTTATACTGTTTTTAAACATTTTGTCAATAACAATAAAATATAGGAAGAACGGTAGTTGTTAGGGCTGAATCGATCACTTTTTTTAGGGACCCGATGAACGTTCACCTTCTGCCAAGCTCGCAGAGCTGGAGACTTTTGTATAAAAGAATTAATTCATTCATTCATTCATTTTTCTTAATTAATTATCAAATATAAATAACAATTGTACAAAAAATATATTTATATATAAAATAAAAAAAGTAAATAAATATAAATAAAAAAATTTAAAAAACAAAATATATATATATATATATATATTTTATATATATTTTTTTATTTGTATTTTAAAATATTAAAAGAATTTGCAATACAAGCTGGGGATTATTTATTATCAGTACAAGTTGATCATTCACTTTTACTATTAAATGCCATTATTTATACATAGGTAAAAATAAGATTGTATCATGAAAGTAAAATATTCACACAAACTTATAAAAAAGAGTCTAAAAGACAATTGTATACAAAACTGATAGCGGAGTTTGATTTTACACTGAATATAAACCCTTTTAACCAAATATTTCTAGTTATTTTATTATTTATACCTATTCCATTCACTTCGAAATATATTATTTAAAATCTTTAAATTAATTTATTTTATTACAAAATTGTTTTAAAAAAAAATTGTTTCTTGGTTGTTATGGGTAAAATTTCATACGGTAGTCAACACTGGCCCACCATCGTAAAGTTATGTCTTTGTCTTTTTCTAATCTGAGCGATGGTATTGTTCTTGTCTCGCGTGTAAATGAGACATAAATATGTTTACTTTCAAATGTTTAGTGGTATCAAAGCTACGTCGTCAAATTTCAAAAGTGGTTACACTTTTTTCGACGTGTGATAATGAGGTTTGCTTCTCTAGTGTTGTTTTAACTCAATGGGGCGATAGCACAAAACAGTTCAAAGATAACTAACTATTCTGTGGGGGCTACAGTAGCATCAGGATAAATAAAACATGCAAATGCATATTTCATTTTGTTTATCTATAATTAAAACATGACCTTAATGACAACATTTTATTCCTGAATGATTTAGAATATAATAAATATTGATATTAATAGGTACTTAAAGTTGTTTATTTCCAACAGAAATCTTCAGAATCGTTTTTAAACCCATTCTAAACGAACCAAGTTTAATCGCACTTTCTTAAATGATACTTATTTATAAATACGATTATTCATGTAAATGTAATAATTAATAAATTTTAAGCCTCATTCACAATTAAATAGTAAATTTGTAACTGTTTCAAACAATATTAAAGATTTTCTTACCATTTGGTGTAAAACTTTTATGCGTCATTATCATTAAATTGGCCACTAAGTTCTTTTCCGTTGTCACTATGTTGTGTGTATGACATAGAGTACATGTCATTTTATGTGCCCCTGACAAAGTTTAGGCAAAATTTTCATACTGGTCGGTTCAGTGGCTGAGTCGTGACAAACAAACTTACATTTGCATTTCTAATATAAGCTAGAATTACATCAAGAGCCATCCATTCTCAGAGCTGAGTTCGACTTGTCGACTAACATATTTTTTATATGTGTTTATTGGGAGCTCCTGAAATATTTTTTTAGACTGGTTAAATGGGAATCTAAAATCTTTTTAGCATTTTTTTAAATAATTTATAGCAAACCTTGACCGCAAACATTCTTTTTAATACAAATTTTCAAATATATTTTTATTTTAATCTGTGTAATTTTAGTATGCATAGTGACTAACCAAGAAAATCAAAATTGTAAATGAAATTACCCAAACGGTGTTTAATGCGTAAATCCCACTTGAACTATTGTGTGTGCAAAATGTGTCTAAATACATTTAGATTGTCTGGTTCTAATCCTGAGCGTGGGGAATTCAGTCTTTAAAGTGAATGCACGTGTCGTGGCATGGGGCCAAATTATTGCGTAACATTTTAGGAAAAACGTTTTCGTGATTTCACATTTCGGTGGCTTCATGTCAACTAGTTGCTAAGAGTCGAAGAATTATATTACGAACGATGTGAAGTTTCTGTCTCAATATTAATAATTAGATATTATTACCGATAAAATTACTTGCCTTGATAAATAATCTGGTTCTGGAATAGTTTTATCAGAAATCTGCTGTTTAAAGGTTTTTTATTTCTTTTAACACCAGATTTTTTAGTAATTTCTCACTTCTCACACACGGCAGTCTGATACGTAATTAAAACACAGAATGCCTTAAGCTTTATATAATTATGTAGATATCGTTCGTCTGATTTAAGCCAATTTAGAAAGACGAATATTAATATTACTTCTTATGCACAAAATTAAAAAAAATACCTTTTTCTCACTGTGGTGGAGTTCGTGGTACAATTCAAGATCAAAGGAAAGATATTCGCTGCCTTTATTTGCTCGTATCATATTAGAATTCGTATATAAGTTTGAATTTGAGCTCCAAATTGAATTTGGGGGATTGCGCTGAATACGCTTACTGAGAATATTAAATGTGTATTCAAGGAGAATATTAAAGATTAGTCCGTTATATTACACCGAAAATTATGTTTAAGAAAAACATACTCGAGGCTGTTTATTCATTTGTAAAGTCTTAAGTATATAACTTTTATAGGGCAGGCAGAAGGAAATAAATTAATGATAATCTGAAAAAAATAAGCGTATGTGCTTATATAATTAACATATTCAAACATAGTTTATTGTGAAAGGTGAAGGAATGATCATGGTTAGAAATCGCTATTGTATTATTTTTCTCCAGGTGAGTAAAACCAAAAGACATCATAGGAGAATAAGCACGTACTATTATAGATTAGTATTGCTAACTACACTTCATTAAAAAAAACAAAGAAATGAACAGCCTCATTGAATTTATCTCTAAATTATCTCTATCGTAATACATTAAGATAATTCTTTACAATACATAGTAATGTGACATTTGAAATACTTAAATATTATCTGAAGCAGAAGTGCCGAAAGCTAAAACTTTTGAAAAAAGGATGTTTGAATGATTTAAAACTATGTAAACACGAAAAAAATACACATGTACTATAAAAATGTTGACTTACGGGACATATTCAATATATTCAATACTATATAATAGTAACTTTCACATATGTTACACAAAAGGTAAAGAAATGCAATGAAACCCGCACAATATAATTATTTATGGTCGAAGTTCGATCTCTCGACGATCTCTAGTTGGGTCATACCCAAATCGTAGTTCAGATGAGATTGCTTAAGTTATAGACTAAAAAATATAGTAATATTTATTACAACGAATAAAAATTCATGGGCCCTGGCATTAACAAAACGATATAATAAAAAAAAAGATGATAATTTGAAAAAAAAAATAAAGTTCCAGTGATAGCCCCCTTCTGTGGACTGTTCAGATTCGAGGTACATACCTTTAAATATGTTTAGCCATATAAATAAAACATTTATCATTAAAAAAATACGTCTACTACTCGTATATTATAATAGAGACTAAATTTATCTAAAAATGACATAAACTTACTTTAGATCTTGAATATAATTTGAAATAAACCTATGGTTATTGGTTGAAACTACTTTTCTGTGGACTTAAAAATCAACATGATAAATTTATCTCTAAATCCTACTATAGATGGAATACTTTTGAAATTGGCAACATTGGATAGCTGTCCTTGGTCTGCGCTCATTGCGACATAATTGACGTGTATGTATATTGTTCCGAATCTTAAAATAAGATACACACTATTTTGTAAAAGATCATTGCCTCTTTTCTGTTCTTAAAGTACTTTGGTAAGTAAATATTTATTATCATTATAAATATATAGCCGCAATGCATTGTAGGGAGTATTTTTTAAATCTACTTAGCCATTGTTCTAACCTCAAAATTAAAAATGCTTTGTTGACTTTGCACAACAATAATCTCTTCTGTGGACATATTTCCTGTGACCCAATATGTCCACAGAAAAGGCTTATGTCCTCAGAAAATAGTATTAATAAACTTTCACAAAGTTGTATTCTGTTTCTAGCTATTTACTAATTGTTTGGCTTTTTTTGTGCATTTGTAAACTTATATTTAAAACGTATTAATAATTTAGCGATTAACTTATAACTTTATCAGACAATACTGTGTGGTTTCTAGGGCAAACAAAAAGAATATTGTTGTGCAATAGTGGTACTAATGGAAATTAAATTTTACAAAGAAGTATTTCTCTTTCTCATTAATCAAATTTACAAAATATATTGTTTTGAAATGGAGTTCCTTATGGAGACAAAAAGCGTACGTTACGAAAAAGCGTTAGTAGCTGTCTCTCTCGTTCTGCATCCACTGAGAGCACGCTGACTGCAGAGCGAGTGAGAGAGAAAGTACTTCGCATTGGGCATTTTTATTTAATAACTCTATTGGACAACGCATCGTATCGATTTTTAGAGAATTTGATGAGGAATAAAATTAGATCAGTCTTGTTTCGCTACAGACAATAATATTCGAGTTATTTTTTTTAAAGTACCTTGACCAAAATTTATGAATGCAATATTTGTCAAATAGTAAAAGGAACTTCGTTCCTATCGGTGCCCCACGACACCACACGGCTTTTAATTTATATTTAAATTAAACTGATTGTGGCGCTAACTTTGCATGTGACCCCACATTTTTGCATTTTTTTTCTGCTTTTTACTGGTTAAATTAAATAACAAAAACAGCTTAGCTTGGGGTTTTTTATTTGCCATGTTTCAGATACAATGCCTCGTTCAAGCAGACCTAGGGTACAACTAAGTGAAGAAGAAAAGAAAGCACGTAGACGAGAGCAAAAGAAAATGAGCATGCGAAGAGCTAGAGCCAAATTAGGTGCTGTTGCATTAGAGGAAAGACGTAGAAAAGATAGGGAACGATATCATCAAAAGAAACAAGAGGGTTTAATAAGAACTATTAAAGATTTTACACCTAGACAGCAGAGACAAATGAGAAAAATGTGGCGTGAAAAGTCGCGGCTGAAACGCGAGAAAGAAAAAATAAGAAAGCGTACAGAAGAAATGCTTAATGAGAATACACCACCTTCCTCCCCTTGTTCAGCTTCATCGCGTGTTGCTCTAGGTAAAATCATACGTCTAAGAAATAGACGATTATTGATGACTCAAAATCAGAATTTATTGAAAATATTAAACGTATTAGAGAGAAGGTTAGCTAAATATCGAATGCGGTTTATAAGAATAAAGAAAAGCAAAACACGGGGTAATGATCTAAAAACTAATATTAAAAGAAAAATATGTGAATTTTTAAATGACGATGAAAATAGTAGAATAACAGCTGGAAAAAAAGAAACAATAACTCGTAAAAAAGTAAAAAAACAAATTCGTCTCTTGAATGATACACTTATTAATCTTCATAAAAAGTTTAAAAGTACGGCTGGTGTAAACGTTTCGTATGAAACGTTTCGCCGATACCGACCTTTCTGGGTAATATTTCCAAAAGCAGCAAGCAGAAAGACTTGCTTATGCTCTGTCCATACCAATATTAATTTTGTTGTATGCGCCTTATATAAAACGAGAGTTTTACCATATTCTTCTGCCACTGAACTAGTGAAGTCCCTTTGCTGTTCACTCAATATAAACTGCTTAGAACGAAAATGTACAGAGTGTAACCAAAGATTACCACTCTTTAATATTGTTAATGGCACTGACACTATAACATATCAAAGGTGGGTAACCAAGGCATTTACTGAAATTATCAAAGGTAAAGAAAAACTATGCAAAAAAACCATTAAAGAAAGTGTAAAAACATCTCAACAATTGCTTGTAAACTGTTTAAAACTAAAGCTACCCACGTTTATGCAACATCTAGCTAACATCATTAATCAGCATACAGTCATACGAGCAATCAAAGAAAATCTTACACCATTAGATGGTTTGCTACATATAGATTTCTCGGAAAATTATTGCTGTAAGTACGGATCAGAAATTCAGTCAGCCCATTTTGGTGGATCAAAACGACAACTTTCGTTACACACCTGCGTATACTACTCTGCTGATTATCCACCACCAACAAATTTTATTAAAACTAGTTCAATCTGTTCTGTATCTGAGAACTTAAGACATGATCCGGTACTTATATGCGCACACTTGACCCCTGTGGTAGAAAGAATTAAATTACTTTCCCCGGATTTAAAAAACTTACATATCTTAAGCGACGGACCGACCACTCAATATCGCAACAAAACTATGTTCTACATGATAGTAAATTATCTAAGTAAAATTTCAAATGCAGAGACCATAACGTGGCATTTTTCCGAAGCAGGTCATGGCAAGGGGGCACCTGATGGTGTAGGTGGGTGTGTGAAACGAACAGCTGACAATTTTGTTGCACATGGAGGAGATGTAACTAACATTCAGGATTTCGTTAGTTGTTTGCAAGACAGATGCAAAGGCATTGAAATTATCCCTATCGATGATACTCTTATTACTGAAATCCAAAATGTAGCTAACGGAAACAAGTGCCATCCATTCAAGGGTACTTTCAAAATTCACCAACTCACTTGGACTGCAGCCGAGCCTAACATACTACATGCGCGAAGACTAAGTTGTATTTCATGTGCAACAAATGCCAATTGTCCACATTTTGAGATTGGACAAATTCAAGTTATGTATATCTCAGATACTTCAATTATTTCATCAGACGCCCATTCAAGCCCATCATCGGTGCCTAGCCCAACTTTGTCGCACGGAACAGCATCTGCATCTACTGTCTCTGGATTGAGACTACCACTTTCACCTCTAATGTGCACACCATCGCCTAACCGTTCAGATAATGCTACGCCTAAGCCATTTACTCCAAGAAAAAGTTTTTTTTTAGAGAGTAACTTCTGTGATGAATCGGTTACACCACCGATTCATCACATATATAAAGTTCGATCGATTTTACCCTCGAGCGATGAGAGTGACGAAAATATATTTTAATTATGGACAATTATACAAGTTAAAATTATGTGAAAATTCTTATTGTTTAATCGGTTTATTTTTCATTTTTATTATGATTGACTAGTATTCAAACCTTATACTGAGCCAATATGTAACATTTTAACAATATTTACAAGTTAAATATTGTTATTGAAATTATATTGATTTGTGAAGTCTTTTCTGTGGAATTATGTCTTTTCTGTGGTCTTAAAAAAATTAAAATGCTAAAAATCTTGACTAATTCTAAATAACGATCTAGTTTCTAACATGCTCTATAATGTTACAATCTATACCATATAAATGAGACTGATTTCGAAGAAATACGACGTTTTTTTATTTTCATAATTTTTTGAGTCCGTTTTGTGTATGACCCAGTTATCACATGTATAATTTAGTTAAGGAGTATTGAAAAGAAACATGAAATTAACACTTCGTGTGTTAGATTAGATACATTAAAAATGAAATTAAAACGTAAAACATTGTACACATATAATATAAGATAAATGTAGTACTTTATCATTCTGTGAAAATCTATAAGTGGATAGATCGATGTGTTTGCGGAAAAACCTTATCAAAGTACTGCGAATTCATTAATCGCCTGATTTCATTAAAGCTCGGCGCCAGCGCTGTTGATAATTTTTATCATTGGTCTCACTATGTATTATCACACAATTATCATTTTTTTAACACGAGTTTATTTTAGCCAGGTATATAAATCCCTAAGTAAATTATTTGCTCGCCTCTTCGCACGCGTTATCCGAAAAAGATTGTTGAAGAATTCAGTTATACAAGGCTATTGGGTAAGTCGACCTAAATACTTTAAAGGGTTGTAGTTGCTATCATTTCTGATAGATTTCACTATGAAATCACTATGAAATACCATATCCCAAACCATAATTTGTGGGATATGGTATTTCATAGTGAAAGACGTCCTGCGGTTCAGGTCTTAAATAAAAAAAAATACATGCTCTCCTGAATACTTTTCAGCGTTATATGCATATTAGAAGCGATCTCCTCAAAATTATATTTAATATAACATCTGTGTTGGTGTTATATAAGGAATCTAATATAATTTATTTCGTTCCAGAGTTAGAACCAGAATAAATATTCAGAAGCGTGGGCCCTCCCACACTTATTCATAATGCTCGCATATTACGCAAGTCATCTATCATTTAAAATGGTTCTGTATGTCCGTTCCAGTTTTATTTATAAAAAAATTGAAAATGGACGGCTATTTAAAATTCAGTAAAACTATTTATAACATTTATTCTAAGCCCTATATACTTGTTCAATGAATACTCTTTCCAATACAAATAATTTCCCTAATCCGAAATCTAGTTCCAGAGATTACTATGTTTAAACAAACTATGATAGAAAAAACTCTTCTGCTAAAGCAGAAGAGTTTTTTGGATAATGGATGGATAATGGAGACCTGCATAATGAATTATGCCAGTCTCCATTATCCATCCGTCATCATCATCACCTTACTTACTTACTTCAGGCTATTTCGGTCCACTGCTGAACGAAGGCCTCCCCCAAAGAGCGCCAACCATCTCGGTCTTGGGCAGTCCGCATCCATCCACTGCCAGCCATTTTCCTCAAGTCGTCGGTCCATCGTGCCGCAGGGCACCCTACACTACGTTTGTCCAATCGTGGTATTCACTTTCGCACATGTCGGATTTAGCGACCATCAGTCCGCCTGGAGACATGACCGACCATCATCATTAAAAGCCCTTGATAGTCAACTGCTGGACATAGGCCTCTTCTTAGAAAGGAGATTATCCATCCATACTTATTATATTTTAAATTTGAAAGTGAGTTAATTTGTTTGTATGCTTTCACGCCTAAACAACTAAACCAATTTTAAAAATTCTATAACCAATAGAAAGCTACATGTTCAAGGAGTAACATAGGCTACTTATTACCGCGATAACTGACATACACGCGGGCCAAAAAGTGGGCAAAAACTAGTATTGAATGTATTCTAAAGTCAAGACTCTCGATTATGTCACGATTACACATCCTAGTATACTAGAGAGATCTTCCACATAGTTCTTTAAAAGTGTTATCAGAAACAATTGAAGAAGAATGTATTGACTCATTTCAAATAAAATAAAAAGTAATAGACAATTCGTCGTTTTTTGTTTATGTGCTCTATTAATTTATTTTCATACACACAAAAAATACGTTTATTTTTTTGCGTTTCAAATTTTTGTTTGCTGAAAAACCTGTTTCGGACAGTAAACAATATTTTGAAAAAAGAAGTATCGAACGAGGTATTCTTAATTTCATATACTTACAATAGATATCAAAATTTGACAGGACAAAGTCTGTTGGGACCTTTGACAGCTATTAAAAATAAAGTATGACAATAAAAAAAATGCAGGCTCAAGAAAATTTGAAGGTAATCTGTGGACATTTTCTCTTTGCTTATTTCTTCTTAGGCCTTTTGTTTAGGATTGTAAATTTGTTTTAAAAATCATTTTGATAAAAAAAATGTTTTATATTCTTTTTTCTTCCAATGTGTTCTCGTTTCTTGTTTCTAATAAAAAACTACGTAATATACATATGTATGTTTGTTTCAGGTAGTTCATCATTATGTACATCGCTCTTAAGATAAGATAAATTCGGTTCTCTAACTAATTAAATCGTAACGTGCACACCTACTACATATAAACTAGTGATGTTATCAATTTCCTGAATCAATAAACTCATACACCAATAGCTGGAATAGATAAGCATTTATTTTTATTTTACGCGTTCAACGGTAGTCTATCTTTGTATATAATCTGTATAACTATAAAATGTAGCATTTAGAGCGTTTTTTGTTTTAATCATAAGGTTTTATTGTAAAAGGAAAACTTGAAAAATCGATAAAAAATATTAAATGGCGAGTATAAAAACAGTCATAATTAAAAACGTGAAATAAATACAATGCATTTGTAAAAAATATACGTTTTCTCTAGGATGTAGTTTTATTCTGTTGGTGTTACAAGCTTTTTTTTAACTTGCAATGTTTGTATGTGTGTTCGGCATGAACCTTGGTAGCTTCGTAGTCTGATGATGGAGCCAACAGACGGCCATAGGAACTTCTTAACTAAACAAGGTAAACCCATCTACTTTGGTAATAAACGATATCCAGGTTTATTTTCGTGTTAAAGTCAAGTGTATAAGCTGAAATATAAAAAAAAATGAAAATGTTTATGTCGGTAGTATGTCTAACGCATTTAGGAGAAAAAGTATCTGGCTAAGAGCATCCAGCTAACTCTGTCAGTATAAAATTGCTGAGATGAAGCTGTTAATTGTTTAAAACGGGTAGTAATAAAGTAAGGAATCCAGCGCTCCTCGTTTACCCAATATGATTTGGCCAGTTTCTTTTTCTAATTTTACGGGGTAAAGGAGCCGACCGGTAGTCCTTTGAATGGATGCCTGAAACTCAAACACTTTAAAAGAGACGAAAATCCCTGAGTTTGTTTCGTCCTTTCTTCTCAGGGCTGGTCCAGTTAGGAAAGGCCGAACTCATCTGCTTTAAATAGTTTGACATGCCAAAGTGTAACCTATTGGCAGAATAAACAATTTCATTTCATCTTATTGCATTTCATTTCATTTCACTGCATTTCATTTCATCTCATTTGATTAGATTTCATTGCATTGCATTTCCGCCCTTTCAGTTCCTACCCCCCCAGAACCAGGAGGAAGGGGAGGGTTTGGGCTCCGATAACCTCACTCACTCGGTAAAAAGCAATGAGATCGTGGTATCACTCCGGTCGAGCCTGGCCCATATGTTACGAAGCATAGCTCTTTACCGATATGTTTTTTAGTAAATATGGGTAGATGACATTTATTTCTTCAAAGACTTTTACCAAATGTTAGAAAAGATACTGTACCATGTAATGTACTGAAATATCTACTAAATGGATTTCAAATTCTGTCAACTAACTTTAATCAAGCTTTTCATTAATAGTCTTTTCTTAAAGGCAATATTAACAATCTATTATTTAATCTCTTCTCTCTTTTTATCTTTTACTATTTGTATTCTTATTCGTATACTAAAACTGCATATTAACCTACATTGTTCGAAAATGAGCGAAAATGAGCGAAAATGAGCCTATGCAATTCTAGTCTATTTATTTGACGAATTAAAAAATCAACTTCTCTATGGTGGAATAGTTATACTGAAAGTACCTTTATGTCTGTGAACTAAGTCAATAGTAGGTACGTAGGTACTCTATTTAAGTATAATGATAATTCAACAGAGTCTGGCACACTTTATGCATTCTACTTCCTAAAAAGTAGGGCAACCAGGAGGGTTGACCTGCCAAGGCTTATAAGGGCAGGTTTATTGATTTTGTTTCGGTACAAGCTTGGTAACTACGGCCTAACAACAAAAAAAATATTTTTTTGAAGCACAAAGCGAAACATTAGACTAATATTTAAAAGGAAAAACTTTGTTTGCCTAATTAGATCACTCGTTATATTTTTGCATGTTTTTTAATCCGAAGAGGTTTATTAAAGTCGGTTCATGATACTTTATGTTTTTTTCAAATAAACTGAGATCAGGAAGAAAAATATACTTACATTTTTTATTACTTAACTATTTTAATCTATATGAGAAAAACATCTAAAAATATATTATTGGCTTAGACATCCCGGTTTTTTTTCAACAAAAAGAACATCATAATTAACTTTTTAATTTCTTTTATCGTATTCCTTTCTCGGTTTTATTGGCCCAGCTGAACAAGGCTAACTTCGTTTAGATTCCAAGTTTTAGTTTAAGTTGCGTGAAATTATAATCAGCTTTAAGCAAACGATGAGAAATACAACTTTATAACTGTCTAAATCCAACTTATCTATACTAATATTATAAACCTGAAAAGTTTTTTGTTTGGTTAAACGCGCTAATCTCAGGAACTTTGCTGGTTCCATTTAATTTTTTTAATGTTGGATAGCCCAATTATCGAGGAAATCTATAGGCTTTATAACATCACGCTACGACCAATAAGAGCGGAGGACAAATGAAAATTGTTGCAAAAACGGGGCAAAATTATTATTTTTAAGTGACGCAGATAAAATTGCGCGGGTTAGCTCGTAATTAATATTCATATGTATGTGAAAGTGACACTTTAGTTATTGTAAGGTGTATGTGAACACCATATTTGTTCACTCAAATGGCGACGGTATTCGGCAAGTTTCTTTTGACATTTATAAAACGGCCATGTTTCAACACCTTACATATTGCAGCAAAAACGCCCCCTCCTGACTTTTGCTATGTTGACAAGCATGTTGGTACTTAATAACAGAAATTACGATAATAAAGGGTGATGATCTTAAATTGTTGTAATATGGTTGCATAGGTTTTAAAAAAACACGCTTCAGTGGCGCGATTTAAAAATTAAAAGGGAAGAAAGAAGAAGAAAGAAAAAAAACAATTTCAATATAATAAGTGTCCCACTATTTAGGCGCCATCTATAAATTACGTCACACGTTAAGATGGATGGGGTCGGTGTGACGTTTGTGATTAGGTCTGGGTGCTAAGTTTTCACATTTTAAAAGTCACATTTTAATAGTTTCTAGATGTTAACTTGTAAATATGAGAGACCACAGGAGGGGGTTGTCTCACAAATGTGACCAGCTACGACAAGGACGATGTTGGGGTCGAAAAAACAATGCAATTCCTGTGATGTAACTTATAGATAGCCCCCCTTTTTTTACACGGGAAATACTTTTCGCGCCATACGCCCCGTTGGTGAAATGGAGGGTGTGTGTGGGACTACCGGAGAACCGGTTTGTCCACTGAACCCCGCGGCGGCCTACCACCTTAGTCCAGGAACGGATCGGCGGCTTCTAGAGTCCTCCCTGCCGTACCTCATGTCTGAGGCACATCCAGGGGCATGGATGGCCCTTACCTTGTGCCTTCATCATCAAATCATCGTTACCGAGACCTAAGGACTCTCGAAGCCGTTGAAGATTTTGATTAACATCATATCTGATTTTAAGATGACAAAAAATAGTATTTTTATCTAAACTACAGACAAAATAATGTATCATTTCGATACTATAACACAAAGAAGGTTGAAATTCAGTTCTAAGAAAGTTTACATATTTACCTACAAGTGACGCTTATAAAAGCGGGTTAAAAATCAATAAAACGTCGTAGAATATCGTAGAACAAATCCAAAGAGATATAAACCATTGTTGTTATAAAATACCATGGTCATTTTCACTTGATATACTGGTAAGAATGAACTGGCGCTCACAACAGTGCCAAAATATCGGAAACTAATACCCGAAAATAAACATAGTAAATTTCCCGTTTATAATAACTCATCGAGTAAATCATTATTATTTTAAATATTCGTTTTAATATAATTATGGCTTCTGTGTGGAGTTTTATCTCATGTTAACCAACTGTTGTCAGTTAAAACATTAAAACCAACTCTAGGCTCTTCAGCAGTCATAAAGTAAGTAAAAACCTTTTAAATTCCTTCAGCAAGTCTTTTATAATTTTTTTAAAATCCTATAGTTTATAACAGGAAAATATAATATGGAATAATATAGATTGAAAACAGATCTCTTTTTAACTTTTAAACGTTAAATTTAGCTAAGTGGTGGTTTTGGTTGGATTGTTTCATAAAGTTTCACTTTTGTGTAAAAAGCTACATAAATACAAAATGGCGAGCTTCTTCTATTCTTATCGTATTCTTAATGTAAGTTAGTAGGTAAGTGCCTACAAAGTATATCGTTAAAAAATCGCCTAACGCTTCGGTATGCCTCGTCTACAATCTAAGTTTTCAAAATTATATTATAGTTTAGAAATGAACAGCGAACCTTCTCTGCTGTGTCTAGTAATGGGCATTATGGAGAAAGTAGGTTGGCTGGTACTTTCTCGTGATCTTGATTGATTGATTATAATTGATAAACGAAACTAAAATTGCCCTACCGTAGCCGCATTCCGCTTTTGTAATTATAACATATTTTAGTTATATAATTAAGCATGATTTTAGGTTGAATGACTCAATCTGTGAACCTTCACATTTACAGGTCTGTATGTGTATATATATATGTGATCGCGTAAATTTGCGACAACATAATTTATTTATTTCCAGTTACAATGTTTATTTAGCAACCACATTTATGTAAAAACTTAAGAACTACTTACTTATATTACTTATACGGGTACTTATATTTATTAAATAAAATCTTTTTTTTTCACGTGTGTGTTTCGCGGGCGTTACACTCACATCACTCCTGACTCCATCGCGGCAGGATTTTAAAAAAGAGCCTTCATCAGATCCGAAACTAGTCAGAACTCCCCGGGATACCATTGTGTCAGCTGGTGTGAATTTCTGCCATGCATATTACAGAAATTAAATATAGGACCCATAATATTTCGTGGCCGTGGTGCTTCCCTGTTTAAATGAGTGTATGTCTATTTTTACTACATTTTATCTCCTGCTTTCCAAAGCAAAGATGTGGGTTTATTGTAATTCCAACGCCTCCAATTCTTATTTTTTGATTAATTTCGTTGAGGGTTTCAAGACGGCTTAATTATTTCCTGGGACTTCCCGAGTGTTATAACTTGGTGTATTCGTGGATAACTGTTGTTGATCCTGGT